TTTAAAAACCTCGCGATTGCTGAGCAAGAAAACGACACATTCATATTCCAATGCCGAGGTTAAGAGAAAGTCGATCCTGGAATCTACTTGCTGTGTTAAAAAATCATTTCTTAAAGTGAATGTGACTTTCCTTAATAAATAAAACGTTGTAAAGAATTCAGGGCACTTTACAAGGAGTTTTTCAAATGGCCGGCTCATTTGGTCGACTGATTGCTCCACTTCTTACCAGGTGCATACGATAGCGTTTTTAGTGTTCCAAGAATGTATGTAATGTAGAATGCTTTCCTGTATTTCTTTTTATTGATGAAGTCTACAGCTAATTTAAATTCACTTACAGTGTGCTGTACGTGAACTTTGGTCCGAGAATTCCATGGATTACACAGATCGTGCAAATTTCCGTGATTATCTCATTATGGTTAGGCTTTTCTAAGAAAATGGTTCCACTTAATGTGGACTCTCAAGAGACCGTATCCTCTCAGGAGGAGAAGTTCTAGTGTCCTGGAACTTGTGTTGTTATCTTATATACGGCTGATATATACAATTTTTGGAATAAATGAGTTGACATTGATTGGAATTGGCATAACAGTTTCCATCTTCCTGAATGTTATCACCAAAAATTCCTAGAAATCAAGCGATACTGACTTATATGTATGTACTTGCACAACTTGTAGTAGTTAAACATTACGGAAATCAATTTCTTTCGTTATGCCAAAAACTGGCAGAATATATTCAATATATTCAAATATATTCATTCTGGCTCGACACGAAGGCGAAGACGCAACGTCGAGGCGAACAACAAGCATGGACCATCGACTCGGATCACCGGCTCTGAGGAAGACGAAGACGTCGAAACGTTAGCCGAAAATAAATATATTTATCAACCTCGTGCAAGCTTATCAAGAAAGAATACATATTGATTAGTCACACCGAGGTTTAGGGAAGGTCGGTTTCGAAATATTACTACGCTTTGTGCTAGCTGATAATACACCGACCTCTGCACGATGTGCGCAATGATGTATGTCCGGAAGAAATACAAGTTGTTACCACCGGACATCGTCATTATATATCCACCATCAGCATCGTGTATAAAAGGGCATCACTGAGTGAGGATGCCTCATTCGAGAAGATGGCTCACTGAGGAAGATCTGGCTCGACACGAAGGCGAAGACGCAACGTCGAGGCGAACAACAAGCATGGACCATCGACTCGGATCACCGGCTCTGAGAAAGACGAAGACGTCGAAACGTTAGCCGAAAATAAATATATTTATCAACCTCGTGCAAACTTATCAAGAAAGAATACATATTGGTTAGTCACACCGAGGTTTAGGGAAGGTCGGTTTCGAAATATATTCATTCAACCACAACGTTGCTGAGATATTTGCAAAACTCTGGACCGCAGGTGTCTATGGTGGGGAACGAACGCGCTATTGTCCTTTCCGGGGAGTAACGCGTTCACCACCACACCATGCGGGTCCTTTGTTTCGCACGTCTCTCAGCTATTTCTATCGATCTTTTTGCCACAGCAATCACCCGTCAGCGGGGTTGATCTGGAGAAACGTTAAACATTGTGATTTCAACTACAGCCATAGCTTAACTGGGTTCTATGCCGATTTGCGCTCCCCAGAGCAACCCCGCTGACGGGTGATTGCTGTGGCAAAAAGATCGATAGAAATAGCTGAGAGACGTGCGAAACAAAGGACCCGCATGGTGTGGTGGTGAACGCGTTACTCCCCGGAAAGGACAATAGCGCGTTCGTTCCCCACCATAGACACCTGCGGTCCAGAGTTTTGCAAATATCACAGCAACGTTGTGGTTGTATTTCGCTTACTTAGTAACCTGCCATGAAAATTATAGAAGGCAGAAAACAAAACGTTAAACAGTATATTCATTCAGTTTTTCAGTTTTTCATCCATTTTTTTTCAGAATATTCAGGCGGAATATTCATAGTTTTTCGGATATGTTAAAAAGGTAAAGGAAGATAAAGCAGGAAACTATTGAAGGGTTCAGAGTCGAAAAGGTTCCTTAGGGAATGGGAATCTCATGCATTGGACTCCATTCCTAGAATCTTGGCGGTGAATGAACGCATATGTTGCCTACAAAATAGCTTGCGATTTCCCATCGATATATCAGTGATCCATATTCCCAGATGTGTTTGGTACCAAATACAACGCCAGGGTAACCAAGAGCACAGTCCAAAGTGACATAACGAACACACGATCACGCTTGTATTGTAGGGTACCTCGAATTACTGAGGTCCACGCTCTCCGAAGGTGTCTTGAATGCTAAGAATATGACATGATGTCATCATTGTATTATATTTTGTTCTTCCTTGCGAACATCAGTGAAAACTGTATTTTCAAATATCAACTATCTAAAAGCATTGGGTTCGCTGGACCGAATTTCTATTGACCTCGTCACTGTTCAATAAGTTACCGTTTTCTTCTTAAGCAGACACCGGTTTATTCAGTACTAAAATTCAGATACTGGGTGACGAATCGATGGTTCGACTTTCCTCAAAGCCTCGAAGGGTCAAATTGTCATGCGATCCCCCTACTCAAACACTTTCTTAACCTCAACAGATGAAATTTAATACGTGAGCTACATATTGCATTTATTAATATACGCATATAGTTATTAGATATTTCAAACAAGGCTGTTTGTTATGCGAATGAAATTTATGCATTATTTTTCCGATTGGGTTATGAGAGTAGGTTTGGCTGGGTAGGTTGCGTGTCAACTTGACCTTTCCAGGTTCTCGAGAAGGCTAAACCGCTGAAAAGTCAGCTATTGTGCATTGATGCATGCTGTAATAACAGCATCATATTTCCCATTAAAAAAACAATCATACAATCGGTTCCGAACTAACTGTCCTAGAGTGCGGCGGTGTTTTAAAAACTGCTAGTTGTTTCTTCAAATGGTGCCTTTTTAAGCAACGTTTTACAGCTGTCCTTAGTTCTATGGAAATGGACAGGATAAAAAGGACCTCATTACCGCCAGACTTAACGTCTTCTTTTACGCCCATAAAAACTTTTGACGTTATTGCAGATATAAACAATCTTATTCTTTTCTTTGTGAAGAGATCAGCGTCGTCATTAGAAGTATTAAAGAGTTTATTTACTGGGATCGTTGGAAATCTTACTATTAGAGTCGTCGTCAACCACATACGACTATAATCAGCTGTTCTAAACTTCCTCATTGGAAGTAACGAAAAAGCGGCTCTGAAGAAGGCGATACTGCCGAAACGTCAGCTAGCGTTGTATTGTAATGTGCTTTTCTATGGAAGTAAATGTATGCTGTTTAAAAACCTCGAAATTGCTGAACAAGAAAACGACACATTCATATTCCAATGCCGAGGTTAAGATAAAGTCGATCCTGGGAACTCTTACGATTAGAGATGAATTTCTGAGAAAATTTATTTTTGATTCGCTCGTTAATTCTGACTATTCACATTGTGGGCACGGACTGCACTGATCAAAATCGTGTTGGGGCAACCAACGTGGTAGTGAACGAAGAAAATTGTACACCTGCAATGACAAACTGCTGAAATCCTGCTGAAAAATGGACAATACGAAGTTACATTCAGAGGAGTTCTATATTTTTTGAAAGGCACACAGCGTATATTAGGTTCCTTACTTGAGAATGTTGGATTATTTATTTCATTTATGTTGTATATATTTTGCCAACTGTTTTCTTTTTCGAATGTCGTACATTATGTGTCACTGCGGAGATCACTTTATACATGCTAACTGTTCGGTGAAACTGAATTATAAAGGGGCGCATGTGGGGCGATGGTCGTAGGCGCCCTGCAACACACACGTGGAATCGATCCCCGCGCCCATGGTCCACCAAGCCTTCCATCCCTCCGTGGTCGGCAAATTGGTACCGGACTTGTCTGGGAGGATAGCAGCACTGGCTCGATACATCGCCAGGCCACCGCGAGTCAATGTAAAAGCCAGATATGCATCCAGTCACCTCCAAGCAATGCTTAATGAAGTCGAATGCATGGCGCATTCCTGAAGAATTGATCAACGCCGATAGCTTTATCCTTTATCCTTTTTAACTGGATTATGATATAGATATACAGTTTTTGAAAAAATAAGCCGCCCTTATTCATAGGGCAAAATTTCAATTTCCACAGACCTCCCTCATAGAGGGATTTCATGCCGAGTAGTCAGCAGTCAGTAGTCGCGAAGCAACATGGCGCATCCGTAGGTGGTATATTGTATCAGGTTAATCGTGCACCAAAAGCCACCTTTGCTCGTATGAGACGCAGGTGAATCGAAGAGGTGGACTCCGTGTTCAAGCTGCGCCGAATTGGCACATGCTTTCTGTGTTTACGGGGAAGTATTGACGCATGCTTGCGCGGGTTTGTTCTCGTTCATGCGGATTTCATCCTAGGAGTCAATTCGGCCAAAAGCCTGCGATCAAGTGACAGGGACGTATATGGGATGCTATAAGTCGTCTCCAATAAGTAAGCTTCACGTCTACTCTGAGAGAGACTGATAAGCTACACCTGAGTATACCAAGTTCCAATTTCACAACTCTGCACGCTATATATGTGAACAAGCGCTAAACACAGTAACATAAACGGGACTCATCCCCCGGACCCTGAAAGCGCGCAAATACAGCAGCATTAAGTAAGATGAGTACAGAGAGGTTGCTAAAGTCTCAAAGCCATTCTAACTTACCTAACTCTTGTAGAAGAAGAGTGACGACCTGTACCTACAATGCACCCTCACTTGCATCTGAGTCCCCGATAGAGCTCTGGATCACACCAGACAAGTAGGATAAAGTGCGACATAATTAGACTGACTGAGACGTGAAGATACTACCTATTCTACACCGTCTATGACACCGGAGAAGTACTGTACGCCGGAACAGGCGAGTGTAGAGGAGTCAGCAGTGTTGACATTTTTGTTAACACGGGTTTGGCCATGAACATCGATTCGTTCAAGCAACTAACAAACCGAATAGGACTTCTACGATTGAAAAGATGTGCATTTCTACTTTGACAATATTCTCGTCTACGTACCAGCATGAAGCTATGACGAAGACGGACTAGAAGAGAAAGTGGATTTTGAGAAGCTCTACAGAGAAGACTGTGTACTTTTCTAGGTGATCATGGAAGATGTTAACGCTGTGCTTGCACTCAGAACAACTTTTGAAGAACGCCACGTTGAGACCAACGGACTTAAATGGAACGAGCAGTGTGAGCGGTTATCTGAGTTTATCGTGACGACCAAGACCATTCATTCATGATAACTCGCAAATCCAGAAGCCGCACTCTCAAAGCTGGACGTAGGAGTCTCCCAATGGAGGGTTCCATAACAAAATAGACCACATCTTAGTAAACTGAAGGTATCCTCTAAAGATGTCGCTGCATTCCTGAAATTCTATCTAGACAAGATCAGACCATATCCCTTCGCGCGTATTCCACTTCTTGTTATAGAAGAAAAAGTCGGGGAATTCAAAAAACGAATTCCCAAAACTAC